TTTGTGCATCTTTGGTAAACCAATATGAATGTAAGCGTGGACACACATACATAGGGAGGACTCATCGATCTCTGCAAGTAAGGGCTGGCTTCACAGCATACTCCTTAATGGCTCCAGAAACAAATGGAATCTTCAGAACCTATTAACGGTGAGAACAGGAGACCTAGTTCTTCTAGTACGAAACATATTACAGAGACAGGACATAAAATTGACGTTAACAGATCTTTTGAACCTATCTATAAAACGTGTTTGGGGAGTTTTCTAAAGTTTGTGCAAGTACTAGCAATTATAAAGTTTAAACCACCTTTATGCGATCAAAGCAACAATTCGTCATCACACTAAACCTTCTTTAGTAAATTTTGTTTTGATACCATAGCAGATGTACTATTACCTCTGCTGTTTGATTTAGTGGTCTTCATTGTTATTTTGACCTTCAATATATCCTTTTAACTTGACCTAAGTCTATTTTCTCACCTCTTAGCTCTATTAATTTCAAATATATTCCCAATGACAAGTCCGTGTGTGATCAGATTTTTTGAAATGTGTTGCGCAAATACATTACACGATTCAGACAAACTACATCTTCTTATTGCTTTATCTAAATTCATCAAGGGTTTTAGCCAAGAAAGCCTTGATATTATTAAATATGTTGGTCAGATTAGATCAGTTTTCGTTCTTTCCAAGGCGTCTGTAGGTTGTTTCTCAACGAGTCTGCATCACTGTATGAGACTGCGACTAAGCTTTTTGTCTGATCAAACTGCAATTTTCTGTTACTCGGTGGAATATCGGTCCAAGTGTCAACATTCGCATTTAATTTGGTGATAGTGATAAACTGCAATAGTTAAATATATAATATTCTTGGCAAGAATGAGACATTATTACCTTGTTTCTAGGCTTGAAACATTCATTAAATTTTACAATGACTTTACTTCTCTTCATGCCGTCAGTAACAGCGTAATTCTCGAATAGTTTTTCTATCATCAGATATTTTTGCAGTTCTTAATAATAATAATAATAATTTCGCTTTTATTCCAGAAACAGTACTTGTGGTACAGTGTGGAATTTTCAGCATTTGTCTACAATACTGCATCTAATTTTATCAAATATTTAAAAAGAGTATTTCAAAGAAATAAATATAAATTCAACAATACCAAAAACCAAAAAGATGTAAAAAATTTCAAAAATACCAAGAAGTAGAAACGAAAATAAACAGTATAATAAATAACATCTCAGTGTTGGGTAGTGGAAGCTATGATATGTGTATGCGTGGTGAACAGTAACAGCTATAATTATACATGAGGTTATGAAAATGATACTTAAGAATGTTTATCGCCAAGATGATCAGTTAATTTGATTGAACAACACTAAACAATCATAAAATAAACATTTCAGGGTTCTTTATTGTCAGCTCTGATGCGGTGTTTTTACTGATAGTGTGAGTAATCCCGAATAATACAAAATTTTCAAGATAGTGATAATGGCGTTCGCAACCAAGATTGTCAGTTAATGCTGCAGAACAAAAAAGCAACCACAAAACTAATATTACATGAAGGTGATGACAGGACAATTTTGTAATACTCATAGTCATAATAAAGTCGGAACCAGTAGAAACACTAAAGAAGAAATAGAATAAAGTACAGAAAAGTAAGCCAAAGTTAATACTTTAGGTGGCTAAGTATGTTGAAGAAGGTGTTCACTACAGAATACAAATAAGTAAGGAATAAGAGAGCCAAAATTATGTTATTAACAACAAAGAAAATCACAGGTTTCGCGCTTAGCACTGTCTCTGTCACTTAGGTCATGAGCCAAATATGGTGTCGTTGAGTTCCTGTATTTGGTTGTACGAGCATATATTATTTTGTACTGATTTCTGGTTCTACCTGACTAGATACAAGGAGAGAGTTGGCAACAGAGGGGGTGTTGAGAGTCGGTGATTATGGTTTTAGACTATTTTTCGCTTTTATTCACATGCCGTTCTACTAATGTAGTGACCAACTGACTGAGTTTCACACCGCCAGTCCTACTAACCACCTTCAACATCCTTCTCAGGATGGTATGGTCCTTTTTCAGTAGCCCAGAAAATACTACCGGGGAGCAGTAAAGTGGAATAGGTAAGATACGAGAGTTGACAAATGGTGAAAGAAGAGGTTGGGTGATTCCGGATAGTCTAAGTTTCTTAATGTAGTAGGTTAGACGGAACACTTTCTTAGAAATCATCAGGATATAAGATGACCAAGTAAGGGCGGAAGATAGAACTAGACCGAGGTATTTTGCATTAGACTTAGTTTAAATTTTAGTCCTCTCGATGCTACAGGCTTCATGAGTACTTACTGGTGTTTGTAGATCTCGTTTATGCCTAAAGGAGAAGTCAATAGTCTGGCATTTTGAGGGATTCGGCATGGGACCATTCAGTTCAGACCACTGACTGATGTCCGACAGGAAGCTATTTAATTTGAAACAGTCTGACTGAGACTTAACGGGAAGCGAAACAGTCAGGTCATGTGCATATTTGACGAAGTTGATTTCGTCTGAGAGAGGTAAGTCATGTAAGAAGAAGGAAAAGAGAAACGGAGAGAGAACAGCACTCTGAGGAACTCCAACCTCAGTAAGCAAAGCAGAGGAAGATACACCGTGTACTGCAGTTGGGCAGTGGATTCTTCTTTGGTTCGTTGTCAAGGTTGCTTGCAGTCAACTTTCCCTGGTCACCTCATCTTCAGAATGGAACCAGAGAAGGCAGCTGTTAATAAAAGCTGAGGCCTGCGACACTTCAGAGTATTGAAGTACTTTCTAAATTTCTTCGCGGTCAACGCTGTCTGTTGAAGGCCTTTTCAAATTCGATGAAAGCGAGGTAGAGGTTAGCCCCGATTTCATGTTCGCTTCGATGATGATGCTTGAAGTTGCAGTTTGATCAGTACATGATGTGCCTTTCTTGAATCCAGCTTGTTCCAGTGGGTGGAGAATTTCTGCATCCAATACACTTTTAATTCTCCCCAGAACGATGTGCTTTTGTGTTTTGCTTGGCGTGGACGAAAGCATTATTCCAAGCCAGTTCTTGCAAAGGTCTATGTAGCTGTTCTTCAAATCGGTAGGCATTTTTCTTTCCCTCCAGTTCTTCGCAATAATGGTGTCAGCACAACTGTGTACACTTGCAGTGGTTCGGCGGAGGGGTGGAATTCCGCCCCGCCCTGCTTCCTTCCTGTTTAGCTTTCAGTAGCTTGACAGCATTCAAGATTTCTGTCTGCATTGGAGGACTGGTATCCACTATCAGGCAGTTGTGTGAGTCCTGTTGGTCTCTTTCGCCTGCGGCTTGTTCCGCTCCATTTGTCGATGTATCGTGGAATCGTCATTTGTCTTTCCTTGCGCTTTTCTGCACTTCTTTATTCAGTACAGTGTACATTGAACTCAGCTTCTCCTTCTACTCTCCATTTTTGCATTGAGTCATCTCTTTCACTATCCTCCTCTCCTCGATTAGCTTCCAGGTAGTCTCCGTTGACACCCATTCCTTGACTTGTATCTTCGTTTCTTCTTAGAACAATTGCACACGTTTCCATGAATATCGCCTTCGAAGTGTTTCACAGTCACCATTCTCATTCTTGCATTCACTGAGAGAATACACACTGGCTGACTGACTTCACGAGAGCCTCCATCAGCAACAAAACTATTCCGTCTCACTTCAATTCTAATAAAGTCTGTTGTTTATATTTTTCCGCAGATAATTTTTATAGAACGCGGGAGTTTCTTGTGATGTTCAGTTGGAGTTCAAATAACCCGGAACGGACGGCATCATCATCACTGAGTGTGCCCTTATAATATAAATGAGATTGAAGATATACGTTTCCTGTGTGATTTTTCTAAAACGTCTTCGGATGTTCACCATTACTTCAAGTTATAGTTTTATAAGTAAATTCCTCTTTTAGCCCTAGTGAGTTTGACGGATGCTCATAGAGTTTTGTGCATTTTATTTACCATCACACGACATCACAGTATGCCACATGGAATCCATCACAATGCAAAACGTATGTGTGAAACACACAGTCACTGGTGCATACTTCAGTCATTCATATTGGTCGACTCATGAAGTGGAATCTGGAGATGTGCACACTTCCATCTCCGAATATCACACACACACACTCACTCAGAAACCACGACTGTCAACCAAGTCTCATAAACTGTAAATGTCCAGCTCTTGCTACGCTGGACCCCACGCTGTCCCTCGAAGACTACCAGAAACGCTTTGTATTAACCAACACGAAAATCAGAACACTGATTGGCGACTCAAGAATCCTTTATTCTTACGCCAACATATAATCAACAATAATGTTATCACAGAAGGTCTAAGAACAAATGTTATAGCAATAAATCATGATAATACTTCCCATAGTTTTTAATCTTACTTCGAACAGCGAACGATGAGACGATGACTGCCGGATTGATGACACGCGAAAATTGTGGAGGTGTTGGGTTTGAGCGAACAACCATGACATGATCGTTCAATCTTCAACTACTTTGACAACGACATTCACTTGACCTAATGAAGAAGAATCACGTCATTCACGTACACGTGGAATTCGAGTTCACCTACTCACTCACTCACTCTCACAGAAAACATCCAATAATTCCTAAAACGGATTATTCACATACTCTCTGTCAATCTATCTTCCATTCATTATTAATGACTCCCACCCAACACAACTCAATCCCATTCAAGTGTCACTAATCCCATCGTCAAGTGTTCGCTCACCTCTACCAACACGATGTTGGAGGAGTGCGTCGAGAACATTCCAGACCACTCATTGAGACAATAATCTGTACACGCCCATCCACAAAGCCACAACTGAGTGACACTAGTCGACCAGTCAACTAATAATTCGCCACACCCTAATCCTCGTTGCATAATTAACATTCGCGTGATTGACATACTAATCCAGATTTCACTCCACAGCTCTCTTATCCATGAGTGCATATAAATATGGTTGGTGTCTGGAGAAATAACTGTAACACGAAGCCGGTCAGATTTCACTGAGACTGAATCTTGGTGGTGTAGAAATGCGCTTGGAATCCGATTCATTTCTGCTGGTGCTCTCCTCCATATGCGTATCACTGATTTCAACACATGTCCATGGACAGATGAACGACAACATGAGAAACAAATTGCTGGCTCTGCACAACAACGCCAGACAAGCAGTTCAGAATGGACAGTTGAGTGGACAACCGATGGCCGTGTCTATCAAACCACTGGTGAGAGGAAGCATATTTTGAAATGGTGTGTGTGAAATGATTGGCACAACTGGCTAATATGAATCTGTGCTTATTTCTTCTGTCTAATTTGCATTGGTCGGATGAATTACACATGGAGGATTTTCGGTCTTTTATTTTGTTGTGTTAACAGTTTCATGACGTTGTGATCCAGTGTGTTGCGTGTTATGTGTATTTCTAGGATATGCTTTCGTTTGTAGATACTTTTCTGATGGGTGACATGTTTGTAATGGTTGGAATTTTTGAGACGGATAATTTTCGGGAACAGATTTTCGATTGAAATATGCTTCATGCCACACTTAGAGATTCGATTAACGCGAAATGGTGTGAATATGTCAGTGTTGTCAACTCATCCCCCGTAGTAAAAGACTGGTGGAGTTGAATTCGACCAAGTTGTATCATCTCTGCATAGTGATCCACAAGGAGTTTTGTGTCGCTCATGGTGTTGACGATTGTTCATTGAGAATAGGTGCAGATTTCCCAGAAGCTTATCACTAATGAAATTTGTTTTGTCAACCGTGAGCATTCTACTCAAACACCCTCTGCCTGTCCAGTTATTCATTCACTGTATATCGCTGGATTGAGTTTACCGTTTGTGTTGTCTTTCAATGTCTCCACTTATCCATGCATCGTTTCTAATTTCAACCAATGCATTTTGTCCATTTTCACACATGCTCAGAGATGGAACATGGAGTTGGAAAGGAAAGCACAAATCTTGTCTGATCAGTGCCGTGTTGGACACGACACAGCTGACGAGCGCAAAATACCCGCATTCGATTATGTTGGACAGAATTGGGCGGGATCTGCAGATGTCGAAACGTAAGTTTCCCTGAATCACTGTGAATTAATTGAATGAAATACGGATTAATGATATTAAACTGTGCAGAATGTGGAACAATTACTCGACGGTAATGTCGTGATATAAATAGCACGCAATTTCAATTAAGCTTCAAATTTATCTCACATTTGATAACGATGGTGTGAAGACTTCGAGTGTTGTTTCGAGCCACACAAATAGATGAAGACTGCTTTTTTGAGTTCTCTGGATGGTGAGAATCAATGACTGGAGACTGTCTGTGATATGGCTTAAACGTTATATCTTTGGCACAGATTCACCTGTTATGACCACTCATATTGTCATCCTGGAATGTAGAACATAATTCAAATGAAGTGTGTCATTCAGCGGTACACGACTACATAATAGTGATATGTACGAAGATATATTCCCATCGAACCATTGGTAAACATGTTTCTATGTGGCTAATAGTCAGTGTATTAATCAGTCGTTTCCATATACAGAAGCAGAGGGAATTTGCGCACCGATGCACAATGCATAGATAGGAAAACATCTATGCAATTAAATAAATGAACCACCTAGTTGCTACTAGATGGCTTCAAGAAATATCTTTTTTGTGTGTTTCATCACTAATTACGTGATCAATTTCACCTATACCGAAATATCTACTGTTTGTAAATAGATGTGACCACCAGACTGATATAAATTGTTTGTCACTCTTTTCACTTCTTCACTGTCAAGTGGTTTCCAGATGTGGTTGGATGAATACAAAAACTACGACTTCACCAGTCGAACATGTCGTGCGGGTCAATGTGGTCATTACACTCAGGTGAGTGAGTAGTGGAAAGTGGATGCTTATGATTTATCAATATATCTTTCTTATGTTTTTTTGCATAGAATGATTCCTCGGGATAGATTTTCGTTGGATGAACCGGAGTTGATGGTGTGGAACGATATTTTGCCACTGAGATTTAGGAATGACTGGAGGGTTAGACAGCCAATCAACACTGTGAGGCTGTTTCCATTGAGTAGGCTATTAGCGAAGATCAATTTATAATGTCTCATTCAGTATTTTTGATGTCCCACTGAGAATGTCGATCGAGAACCACTCACTGTCGTTGTGAACGAATCAGCTGAGTCGAAGAACGCTTCACCATTCACTTCTTCAAATGTATGACAATGGTTCACATCGACACAGAGTTCTTATCAAGCTTGTCGGATTGAGTCCATCAATTGATACCTATCGGAATACAGTTCAACTGTCACACGGAATATTCAATCTAATATGAGAGTCAATCGGATCTCGGTGAATTGAACTGACCGCTATGCTGACTCAATCCTCATTATGTTTTCTTGTGCTCAGAGAGTTTGTGTGTTATGCACGTGTGACATTTCATTAGTCTTGATTCAGCCTCATTTGTGACCAAATGATAATGTGACTTGTATTTCGTCTAACATCGAATCATTGATGTCTCTGGTAATAGTAGTCAGGATGCACTCCTGTGATTACGACAGCAAATAGAAAGCTACATCAATCCAACTGGTCCTCTTCGGTCGAGTCGAATGAATGCTGTCATTAGTAGAAGTATTTCATCTACCCCACAAATGATGTCCATCATCATTAACACTCTTTATTCGTTTCAGATCGTCTGGGAGTCGACCACCGATGTTGGATGTGGTGTCACCAATTGTCCGAATTTCCCCTATGGTTTGAGTATTGTATGCAATTATGGTCCAGGGTAAGTGAGTATTGCAATGCATTTTCCTATTCACCAATGCAATTCACCAATGAGTAGTTGATGAACGTTCGATTATGTGGCAATAGAACCAACTAGCAGTGTTTAGGTGACCCCTCTGACAAGGTGAATTTACAATTCACTTTGGCCTTTCCAATCATGCACTCTGAATTTACATACTGTGAACCACCTCCGAATTCACAGATCAGTCCGAACATGGTGACACGTTCTGTTGTCTTCACATTTCCCTCGAGAACGAGAATTTGATCGTCAGTGTGTTGAATGAGTGATTCGAATAATCATTTCATTTCCATGCAGCTAATTCTTTATTGGACAGTTCTCACAAGCATCATATACTCCTTGCAGTGGAGTTCCACACCTACCATATTTGACTTCATGGTTAATGTATTATATTGAGTTTCAGCGTTTGCCATCACCAATATGCTTATAAAGTCAGTAGGTCGAGAGAATTTTCGGTCGCTTGCTGATATCATCTTACGTGAGATGCAGTCAGTCTGTGGCTTTCCTGCTGTGAGTGACGACTGAAGTTGAAATGTCCCCTGAAATGCAGACGGCGCTGTGTGTGTCGTCAGCCTCTATTTTCGATGATGAATGGTAGTAAGTAGTGGTCATCATTGGTGCTCTCCAATTCCACTGGAAATAGAATAAAATATCAGATAGAAACTTCCAGTGTTCATTAGCCAACTTCATATTGTTTTCTTCAGTTTGCTTGTCTCATCAGGTCGATTTTTCACTCCGATGAATTTGGATTTATCCTGTCAGTGTCAGGAACGTCTTATGAAACCGTTAGCGCATATGCATTATCAGTGCATTTAAACGTTATATTCACTCATTGTCAGTTCACTACATGAATGTTCCTCTCATTCGCTGCATCTATTTCAGAGGGAACTACGCTGGTCGTCCACCATATTCAACATCATCGTCATCACCACAAGCCACCAACACAAACACCAACTCACAACAACAGAATACTGGAACCAATAACTACAACTACAATGGATACAGCGGAAACACGAACACCCAACAATCACAATACTACACCAACACATACGCTCAACAATCGAATTACGGACAAGCGAATTCAAACCAGGTGCCATCCTACTACTCGTCATATTCGTATTCTGGCTCTCCGAAAATGGTTCCTAGTCGCCAATACTATTATCAATATTGATGAGTGGATGATGCGTGAAGACTGTTCGTTTGTGTGTGTGGTCATACCGGTGTCACTTTTGATATCTGAAAAATAAAGCCAATTCCTTTTCCAAATCGCCGACTTTTCATTGATTTAGTTAACACAAAGCGATACGAAGAATTAATTTATCTAATTTGTGTAATGCTTCTTTACAACACATTTGTAACAATCCAATTACACGGAGATGTCACGGGAAGATATATGAGACTGATAAAGATCAAAGCAGGGAGAAAATATACTTAGGTCAATTAACTAGGACCTATTTTTAGTCTAAATAACAATGTATATAACTAAACCGAATAAGAGTTGTTATATTGCATCTATTCCAGTAGAAAAGCAAATTCCACTTAGGAAGGTTTAACGTGATGACGAATAGTTTTTGAAAGGATGAATGTTGTTTTAGCTTCCTAATTGCCAGTGCTTCCACAAACTTAAGAATACGCCCCAAACACTTTCTATAGATAGGTTTAAACAACTGTTAAGCATCAATTTTATGTCCTTTCTCTATAATATGTTTCGCCACAGAGGAGCTATGTCTCTCCACTTTTCACACCGTTAATGTGTTCTGAGGATTCTGTTTGTTTCTGAAGCCACTAAGGAATATGCTATGAAGCCAGCCCTTACTCACTGAGATCAATGACAGTAACAACACTGGTCATCATTGTGACAGTAGAACCTGTCCGGAAACATGGGACGCATGTCCCATTTGTCGGTGAGTCGATTCTGCACTTGACCAACCAACAGCAGTCTTGTGTATTTGTGCATGTTTCTCCTTAAGCCGAACAGGCGTGTACGTCAGCTGAAATGTGGAAGATGGAAAGAAGAGATAGACAGAGAACTACAGATTGGTTGTAGACGTGCGTTCAAGTGTGAGAGTTTGAGTGAGTGAGTGAGTGATTGAGTGGTGGAGTTGGGCAGACAGTGAGTGAGTGAGTGAGTCGTTGAGTGTTATGGTGTAGTTTGTGAGTGGATTGTGTGTAGATTTGGTGTAGAGCAATAACGGGTGGTTTGCTTGCGTGGAGTGACACAGTGATGACTTGTGGATGTATTCAGAGTTGATGTGTGATATTCGACGAAAGGAATAGTGTCACTCACCGAGATTGTGAAGCGGGAGGACGAGGGAGAGTAGCACAGCTGACAGCTTTGCAATCATACTCGATGTATGTACGCTTCAGTCAAATGAGGGAGTTGAATTCGCATTGACTGTGAGAGTGTGTTTCGCCTTTGTATCTACTATTGTCATCGAGTGTGTGCGTGTGTATGTGGTTGTACGTGAATACTGCGTTGCTCATCAGCTTTGCATTAATCCGTGTTTTGTGTAACATCTGATCGTGAGGAATTAGATCACAGTTAGTGATTTTCGCATTGTGTGCTGTTTCGAAATACCATGTGAAAATTGAAATATTATGATTTCTGATTTCATCTTCTTAACAGATTTTGTGAGATTGTTGAACATAAAAATGGCTGTATGCAATCGAATAGGCTTTAATATCAGTAAAGTTTGCAAAATGTGTCTGGAATACTTTGTTATTTCTGTGCAAATATCTATTTTACAGGGTTCGCTGAAATTCTATTTGAAATGACCTCTCAATTATATTCTCATGGAACTGATCACTTCATTTATCGTGTCCTGATTTTGTTTACCAGTGCTCGGAATTTGTGTGCAGTATTGATGTGTGGAATTTCTCGAGCATCAAATCAATTTCTTCTTTGACCAGACCATGACCTGTCTGGTGTTTTATGTCACAATCAACTATACTTGCGACTGACGACAGTCGGTAAAAGTGAGATCGCCACAGGAATGATTAGCATGTCAATCTCATTTTCATCGACTATCATCGGTCGATCAGTCCTATGCGTTCATATCGAACACCTCGAATTCATGTTGCCATCAGTAGAATTGTTTGATTTCCCCCACGAAATATGCTCATCATGAATAATCTCCATTTGTGTCTGGTCATCTGGGTGTCTTCCTTATCACTCAGAAATACTGAGAGACACAATTATATTGCTTCATCTTCACTGGTGATGCACACGTTCACATATATGTATCGGACGACATTTCAACCGGAGTCAACTCTCCATAATCCTGCTAATTATACCTTTCATCAATCACACTTGAGCTGGAAACCGTTTAGTGAAACATTAAAGTGATGTGAGGTGATTTTCAAGTTGAAGGCGGCAGCTTCTGTAAATGTCAGTCTGTTATCCATTCAACCGATTTTGTCAGTTCCTCAATAGTGGTGGAGTGCAGACTGGCCGACAAAACTAGTTCATGTATCCACTGGAGAAATGACGTTGCAAAAATATTATCAGTCGTGTGGTGGAAGTTGTTTGTAGACTATGTATTACTGTGATTCTCTGACTTGACTAGGACAATGTCAAATAAATAGGCATCCACTGAATAAGAAGACTTGTTCTCGGTGGCGCCAATTTAACTAAGCTAGGCATGTCATGAAGATGTTATGCATGCGTTGTTTCCACTTCTGGTGCAACATCTGAGAGTCAGAAATATCAGAAATGGCGATGAATTTCGCGAATTGCTTTTGGTAGGAGGGAAGAGGATTAGCGTCGTGTGTTGTGTTCGCCCATTCGGATTCTCGGTGCATGTAGAAGGCTTGTTCATCACATTGATTAGGATTCTGCTGTATCCGTTTCGCTCACCCGCCTGTTTGATTCACTTCACAATATTCTTCTGTGTTCTAGCTGATTCGCTATCTAACACAGCTTAGGCCTTCACTCTAGATTGCTCGGTCACCAATTCCTAAGATCGGTCCATTCAGTATGACTGATTTGACGAAAGCTGGTGAAACTTCCCTCAACAACTCACCGAACACAATGAAAACGCGCTCACCTTTGCTCAATAGCTGTTTGTAATTGGTAGTGTGCTCGACTCAAGGAATTCGGATAATATATTCCTCCCAGGTGGAAACGCGGAAATTCTGCCGACGATTCTAGATTAAGGGTTGACCGTAGAGCCAAGTCTATTCGATCACCGAGAAATTCAGTTGAACTAGAAAGTTTGATAAGCCATCAGCCATGGGTGTACACGCCACTACGAAATCAGGTCACAAAACTGATTTTGACAATATTGAAATAATGAAGAAAAATATCTGAAATCTCAAAGAGCGTCTCATATCAGAATCGCTTCATGTCGAATGGAATCTCGATTGTCTAAACAGCAATGAGGGACTTAGATAGAATCTGACTTGACGACAAAACCCTTACTTCACCACCAATGAAGTGTCAGAATCCACACAAATGTGATAACCAATTTCATTATGTGAGCACATAATGATTGTATAATTTTATACGCATGTCAAATCCAGAAATCTACTCATAGTTTTGTTATTTTTGCTTATTCAACAACTAGGAAGCAAAATAAATATTCACTCACGTTGAGGAATGACGAGTATGCTTTCCGTATGTGAGCTTGAATTTTGAAATTGCGGTATAATATCAGTGGAACCTGTAAGCATCATTAGACAGCAAGTAGTCAGGAAGAATTAAATCGATTCGTTTTCCATTGACTGGAAAATGCGAAATCTTTTATAATAATTATTACACCAATTCAGTACATACATATATGAGATCGCGTCATGCAACGAAATCGCTTTCCCGTGTTTGGCAGTTTGATCCTTACTCGTTTAGTCCAACTGAACCTGGAAATTATGAGGCTACTCATGATCACAGGTGTTCTCGTTCTGTTTCTCGTGTTGTTAGTGGAATAATACCATGCCAACTGAAGTGGGTACGTCAATATTCGATGCAAATGGATATGATATGTGCTTAACCTTGACTACTCAGTAAAAAATGGTTTACACAAGCGGTTAATACGTAGGAAATAAATGAGATTGTGTGTAAATCTTGGTTTGAAGGCAGACTATGCATTGTCGATTCTCAACGTTTTTAAACAAAGCTGACAAGCTGACGCTCAAACATGAACAGGAATCCTGCCTTTCAGTGTTTTGTTTACAGTCACTGATGTAGCGCATTTCGATGTAAAATGTGCAATGGTAATGATAACATAAATGTGATTTCTGTCTAAGTAGTATGTGATTACGCGAATGTGATATATTCGCAGACGTATCCCTGATTCAGTACCTCTTATTCATCCACTCAAAAGCAGATTTCAGTATCGCTAACAGACGAAATGCATGTGAGTCATTTCACTGTAAAGAAGCAGGGTAATCATAATACTGAAGTTAAATGTTTTAATGGTAAAAGGCTTTTACATCTGACGAAGAATTCGCCTTGTTTCCTTCAGAATTCCTTAAAAATTGTTTGATAGATATTTCTGCCTGTAAAATACTGAAGTCCTCTTAGACTTCATCTGCCTTACGTGTGTGAGATAGCGAATTCACAGAAAGGTTATTGTCAAGGGACCTAACCCTAAGTTGATTTTATGTACGAAGAGGTTTCCAATCGATAATAACTAGGAACGATTGTCATTTTTAAATCCAAAACACAAGGACCAATAAGAGATTATCTTCTTCGGCAGTTCAATTCCAGATAGTTATAAAGTCTGTGAACAAATGTTTTTCTAAGAATGTATTGTACTTTTATTCCTATTCTTTCGTCTTCTTCCAACTTGTACACAACTGAATCATTCGCGTCTTCAAGTTTCCCGTCCATGGCTATCGAAGTGATGAACAAACGTTCAGTGTTCATATCAATTCGCAGTTGTGTAGTGCACGACAAATTCACGCCAGTGAAGAGTCTTATTTCTGGTGGTGAAAACTTTAGACAACTTTCGCCAAATGTCCTCGAAAAAACGAAAGCAGACTGGTTGCACAGTTTCGAAATGCTCCGATTTAAAAGACAATCCGTTAAGAAGATCAAATCAGAAGTGATAATGTTTCTCCATCAATATAAAAGTACAAAAACGGTACACAATGAAGAAATCACTAATTGTGACCTAATTCCTGCAGATCAAATATCATACAAAACACGGATTAATGCAAAGCTGGTGAGCAGCGCAGTATTCACGTACAACCACATACACACGCACACACTCGATGACAATAGTAGATATAAAGCCGAAACAGACTCTCACAGTCAATGCGAATTCAAC